ATATATATATATATATATATATATATATTTAATTAAGTGAATAATTTCTTATTTTCTTTGATATTTTGTCATATGGATATGCAATGATGATAGTTAGGAAATATGTATGTTGATGTTTCCTAATGTTTGGTCTCTATTTGATCATGTGACAAGACAATACGATACGGTCGCTAGTTTAGGCACAAAATCTGTCAAGACTGACGAGCTGAGCAATCTGCAAGTCAACTGAGCAGTCATGCCTTTTAAACAGAAAAGCAGCAGTAAAAAAGGATAAGAGAGAAACCAACACGAGACAAAAGTGGCAAAGCTCCCTAAATTAGATTTACTTGGAGTTTTTATAAACAGTGGACAGTGTTGTGTGTGCGCCTTATAACCGATAACTAGCATGCACTAGGGCACGTGGTAACTACCTTGTGCCACTCTTCTAGACTCCAAGGGAGTTCCCTATTCTACTACTGCTTCACCACCCTGCTTACAAGATGACATTACAGTGGGGTCTAATCACCTAAGACTACTCACATTTCTCGAACTTATGTGCATGTCCTTTTTTCACTCAGTCTCTCATTGAATTTTTTGCTAAATAACTGTTGCCTTTTACTCCCAAATTTGTTACAAGAGAACATAACATTTGGCTGCTGTCCACCTCAGCCTCCTGAACAGGCAGCAAAAGAGAACAAAGGAAGGCAACTGACTGCCTGCTGTCATGTTCATTTCTGATGTTAATTCACAAGAAAAATAATAATAGTAAGAATTAAGTAAAGATAGTTCATGAGTCCCAAATCTTCAGTCTAAGTAAAGTGTCAAGTCATTTGATCATTTAAGGATGAGTCTCAGGTCCAGTCTCAAGTCAATGTGTCTATGCAACTTAAGTGCAACTCAAGTTCAAGATGATCTCATGTTTTTTTCAATGACTTACATTTATAACTGCAGAGTTGATGGCTTATTAAAGCAAAAGTGTTTATTAATAACTTGACAATTTAGCAACCCACCAGTAAGACATTTTTCATACCTTGGCAACCCAAAAGTTGCTCTTATTAATGGCTTAGTGACTTGTTCAGCTTGTAAGTTAATCACAGCATCTAAAGAGTACCTCATGAGAAAAACTAGTATCAAGAGATATAAATAAGAGCTGAGTAAATGAAGACAGATAACAGCACTGAAGAAAATTCTTTACTGAAACAAATTAATTTTACAAACTGCTTCAATGATAATCTGGAAGTTGAGTTATTTCTCTTCAGGAGGAGACAGCAACAACAGACAGCTCATCTCCTGGGTAAACAAGTAACATCTTAAAATAGACTAGATGACATTTACACTTCACAGGTTTCTGTGAAAATACACATAGAATATATTTTACAAAACAACGCAATAAAATAGAATAGAAAAATCCCCCCTCTCCATGTACAACTCTGTTGATACGTTATGAATAAAATAAATTCATTCTCCACTGGGCTGAGGCAGGCGCTTTGAATTGGCAACGGCTAGTTAGAAAACTAGCATTCCTCTTCCTGCAGTCTAACGCCGGAACAGGATCAAGTTCACAGGCAAGTGATGACATGCGAAGGCCACCATGTCCCAGTAACAAGTGCAATGTGATCAATGGGCTTTGCCAAGAGAGAGGGCCGCACAATCCATAAGACATTATATAAACGTCCAATTAACATTCTAAAAACAGACTTTTTTAAAAAACAAATTAGCAATGGCAGCACACAACTATTCAAATGTCCTCACAAACTGGACTTAAATAAAATTGCAACGCACAACTTTAAGTAGAGGAGTGAGGAAACAACTGCTTAGACAAAAGTGCATTAAAAATCTGAATGGGTTCTTTAAAATGCATCTAGAAAAAAAATGGAACATACATCATCAACCTGAACCTCTGCAGTATTACTGCAGACCCATGTCTGTAATGCACAAGTTACTTTCTCAAAGCACCTTAATAAATAGGCTGGTAAAAACAAGTCAATGTGTAAAAGCTAAATTCACTTCTACTAAATAAAACGTAAAGGAATGCAGCTCCTAGTTAAAGAGGAGGCATCATCAGTCATTTCAGTGGCATTGCTCCCATTTCAAGAAATGCTTTATCCATATGTTATTATTTTTGTCTCCATTTGTTACAACCATGTTGGTTGGAATGCTGGGATGAAACGTGTCTACTACTACTCTGTGTATATGTATGTGAGAATGGAGTGAAAACTTGAATTTCCCCTTCAGGACTGAAGGCCAAAATGTGAGAAGGTTCTTGTCATACTGAAGTTGTAGGGAGGTTCTTTTAAACAACGTGAAAAACTGTTCAGTAAAAACTTTTAAACTGCTCACACAAAGTTTGCAGCAATCTTCTCTTTAGCTCAATATGGCCAAACCCCAGTTTATTTTCACAACATAGAATGTATTGTCTGCTCAATTCATTTGTTGGTCAAACTTATTTTAATAACAAATTATGAAACCAAAATAATCTCAATTCAAAGGCCACATTCTGGCTTTTTTAAAGCTTCAAACTGCAGTTGAAAGCCCAGATGAAAGCTCTTGAGAGGAACCTGTGAGATAAAATTATTTTGTTGCACTACTCTTCCTAAGGTTACAAATGAATGCCATGCTCAACCAATCCTCATCAAAAATGTTTTGAAATTTGGTAATGTTTTTTTTTTTAAACTCTCAATTACCGATACCCACTTCAAAATGCAAACTATACTCAGAAGTTTTTTTTTTTCTTTCTTTTTTTTTTATAGACCAAAATGTGTTCGTAGCACCAAGTAGTGAAAGCTGTCAAGTACCAAAAAGCTGTAAGTTAATATCTGGTCAAACCTGTAATCATGTTTGCCTACTCTTTGATGAGGTTGTTGCAGACAACTACTGAAATTTTAGCCAGTTTAAGGCAAAGTTCTTGTACAGCTATTTGTCTTTAGGCAGCATGTAAGAACTTTGGCTTCGTTATCTTCCATGCACACTTGTGTAAAATCTTTCAAAATTTAAAAGTTTTACAATTTGTAAAAGATATCAAAAAAAGTATTTATATGGTTATCAGTACAGAAACTCAGCTACTGCTCCTGCACTAGTATAGAAAAACTCTCAGTAGCTTCAGTATTGTGAGGTGTTTTTTTTTTTTCTTGTATATGTACTTGCTTATAAAATCTACCTTTATCTTCATTGTTTCAACATTTTGTGCATTATTCCAAGATATCAGATAATTAATTGATACAAACTTTATGGGCTAATTAAAAGGATAATGCCAGTGCAATTTTCTTTTCTGATTTCCACCTGTTAAATCATGTAGATGGATTCTAAAGACTGTGGCTATATCAACTCATGTTAGGAAAAATACCCGCTTCAATGATGTGTATTATTTAACTTGTGAGGTTTGTAAAGCCAATGAGGTTTTCATCCAGTAAATGGAGCGGATGACTAATGAGATCACTGTTGGGCCTTGCGTAGAGCTCTGCACATCTGGTTCCTTTTTCTGAGATACAGGACTTTTTTGTTGAGGTAAGGGCTTGTGTTGGCTTGGTTATATCAAATGGAATTTATTGAGAAACTCTTTGCTATGCAAATCATCTCTGTCCATTTGTTGCAAGTAGATATGCAATATCATTTGGGAGCAGACAAAGCAAAAGAGGGGAACTGCCCATTGGTTCAACAGCCCATTGGTTCGACATCCCATTGTTCCGACCATATTAAACTCATTGTTCCGAAGTCCGTTCCAAAATCATCATGATGCCCTGTGGTTAAGGTCTGGTTAGGTTTAGGAGCAAAAAACACTTGATTAGGGTCAGGAAAAGATCGTGGTGTGGGTTAAAATGAAAAAGAAAGTGACAAACACATAAGCCGTGAGCCTGCTCTCCCTCAAGCCGGTCGCGGCGCACCATACGCCCGCCGCGAGCCGTTCAGCACCGCAGACAGTCGGACTAATGGGATGTTGAACCAATGGGCTGTCGAACCAATGACATGGAACCGCAAAAGAGACAGAGTGTGGCTAGTTTAGCCTGGCAAGCTAATAGTAATCCAGCACTTAAGAAATACACCACTCAGCCAAAAGTAACATGTTAAAGTAACATCGATCATTTTGTTAAAATGCAATGCTTTGGTAAGAAACTTTGGGTCCTGAGATTCATATGGATGCAACTTGAAATGCTCCTGACCTGTTGCCCTGGTGTGGTGTCTGGCTCCGGAGCATTTGTTGAGGATCCTTTGAGTCCTGTGGTTTATGAGATGGTGTACCAGCACGTCCCATGGATACTTGAATAGATTGGAATCTGGGGACTTTGGAGGCCAGGTCAACACCTTGAGCTTTTTGTCATGTTCCTCAGGCCATTCCTGAGCAATTTTTATGGTGTGGCACAGCATATTGTTTTGTTGGGGGAGCACTTCCATCAGTGAGTGCCATTACCATCAAGTGGCATCCACATGTATGCCAGGACCCAAGGTTTCCCAGCAGAACACTGCATTGTAACATGATGATCACCTGTGGTTTTAATGTTTTGGCTGATTGATGTATACACGGTTAGGGTCCTGATATATTCTGTTATATTGTAGGCCTGTTTTGGAAAGCGGTCCTATGTCAATATCTAGTTTTAAGGACTTAATTATTCTAATTTACATGCTCACATGGTGCGCATTCCTAAATAAAGTTGTGTTGAGTCAAATTAGCATGGTTGAACTCTAGTCTAGCCTCTTCAGAATATGGCAGGTATGAGGGGTAACAGCTTTAGACCTGAAATGTCAAAAAGTCAATTAGTCAGTCAAAAGAAAATTAATCATTTCAGTCATTTTTTTAAGCAAAAATGCCAAATATTTACTGGTTCTAGTTTCTCCAATGTGAAACTAAATAAAAATTGAATAATAATACACAACATAAATATGTTCATTTCAGGTCAGGGAAATTGCGATGAGCATTTTTCATGCATTTCTCACACTGCATAGGCAAAATAATATCGTAGATAAAAAAACTGGCCAATTAATTAAAAATAAAAATAATAATTAGTTGTGCCCAAAACCATTTTTGATAATTTCAGCACAAGTTTAAGGAAATTATACCCTCAAATTAACAATTTGGGCACACAAATTAATTCATAAATCAAAGAATGTGGGGGGACAGGAACTAAAGGACTAACTATAATAAAGCTGGTAATTTTGAAAGACTTATTCCAGGGTACAATTTAGTAAATTACAAATTCTAAATAAAATAAATCAAAACCTTTACCTCTGAAACTTGAGGGGCTCCATATCATAGACACTAATTAGTGTTAATTTAAATGTATTCAACATTACTGTAGATTAATGTTTAACACCAACATTGTCTTTTTCATGGGTGCCTCACTGTCAAAATGCTCCTTTACTAAACAAATGCCATTTTTGCATTGCTTCCTACTTTTATGTACTGTCAGGACTGGATGTCAGCCTACTGAAAGACTGAAATGAAAAAATACTGCTGTTTCTTTGATCACAGTCAAACAAAGCAAAAATAATTCTTGTTGAATTAACATAGATGGATAAATGAGAAGTAAGAAATCAATAACAGTCCAAAGCGGGTCCTGAAGGAAGTCATCTGGAGCTACGCTCTCTCAGTGGCTAGCTGCAATGTTAAGGTACGGTGAGCACAGTTCAGTCTGTCAGTGCTGGTGGTGTGTGGGTGAGCAGACAGGGAGTGAGGGTTACTCCATGATGGCTCTGTATATCACAGGCTCTATGTAGTCTCCTCTGTAACGTGAGTTAATCACTCTCTGTCTCTTCGACTCCTGGATAATCTCCTTCTCTTCAAAGATGCCATCAAATCTCATGTCCGATGCTTTAGACTGCAGAGACAAAAACAAATTTTAGTTCCAAGTCCTTCTTTGTTAAATAAACATAGAGAATTAGAAACGCATATATTGTTGATAAAAGGGTGTGTGTGGCTTTGGGTTGCATTTACCAGTCTGGATTTGACTCTCTTGGGGAGTTCCTCATCCAGAGAGTAGACATCATCTCTCTTGGCTGTTAGCTGTGACCCATCCTCGAATTCCACCTACATTCCGAATGCAGCAAATACAAGAATGACACAAATGCAAGGGTCACAATGACCTTGACCTTTGACCACAAAAATCTAATCAGATCATCAAGTCCAAATGAATGTTTGTGCCAAATTTGAAGAAATTCTCTCAAGCTATTCTTGAGATATTTGGTTCACAAGAATGAGATGGATGCAAGGTCACAGCGACCTTGACCTTTGACCCTTAACCACCAAAATGCACGTAGTTCATTCTTAAGTCCAAGTGAACATTTCTACAAAATATAACCGATCTGTCCATTTGTCAAGAGGCATAAAAATGTCTCTGCAAAAGGGAAAAAGGCATAACCTAATTTATCTCTGAGCAATCCTGATTAAACTCAGTGAATATATCCTGCACTAAGTCCTGAATGAACCCACCAAATTTCATTAACATCTGATAAAAGAGTTATCAAAAGGTGGGACTTTAAGTGTGCAATTTTTGAAATGCTAGATACATTGTAATGATGAAACAAGTGTAAACCAGCTGTAGAGACTTGGATCAGCTTTGTGAAGCCTGAAACCCACTCATTGCCACTGGTGGCTTTTATTTTGAGCAATTTAGCTGCTTCTTTCTGTCGGCTGAGAAAGGGCATGAATGTGGGGTTGCCACTTGTGGCTATATTAAATTTATTTATTTTCTATTGCTTCAGTGTACACCTCCAACACACACATTTACGCAAAAGATGCAATACGTAACAACACATTCCATGACCTAAAAGAGTGAGTTTAAAAATCTTACATTACCTGCCCCTTTCTTTTGCTAAAGTTTTTTAAACCAAGTTTTCCGCCATTGTAATTGTATTCTTTACATTACTATTGTTAGCCCATTGCACTATTAATTACTGCGAGGCTGGTATATCACACAAAAAATACACACAAACAGAAAGAAAATCTTACCAGGTACATGTGGATGGCATGCGCTGCCACAAATTTGGCCCCATACACCAGGCCATCTGTCCATCGCACCTGGACCACTTCACCCTGGGCTGGTGGTCCGAGCTGAGCACAGTCTCGGCTCTAACAGACAAAACACAGAGTTCTAAACAAGCTGAGCACAGGCATAGATTTTATGAGGCCTGACATGCACATATCATGGATATGGATTTAAATATTCACAAGGACACAAACCTTGTTCACCCTTTAACTGAAGGTAAATGTAAATACTGAAGCTTCTTTCGCATAAAGCAGGTTTACATGTCTGCATTGAATCGATGTTGTATCTAAAGTGTAGAGTCTGTGTAGAAGCGCAAAGTGCAAGTTCCAGCCATGCGGACCTCCTATTTATTTGTGTAAGCTGAAAAACATTTCCCTTTGTGGAAAAAAGGTTTGATTTACTCTCATTTCACAGATAAGACACAATACAACAAATTTTGAAGACATAAAGCCTCCACAAAAGAGAATCTTAACTCTTGTGTGTGATTTACCCTGGCTGCATACGAGTAGAGAAAAAGTCTGTTAACCACTAGGTTAATTTATGCAATGGGGAATTTCATTGGCTTATACTAATAATGTTAGCATGTTCTATAAAAATAAATGTGTCTAGTATAAGACAATTGTTTTGTGGGTGAACTTTGTGAGTTATACTGGAGTTGAATTTTTTAACATTACCTTTGTTAAATTTTGCTGTTGTACCTGATGTCATATACCAAAACCACTGACTTACAGTGGTTCTCAACTGGCGGTTTTTGGTTCTATATGTGAGGACAATGTGTCTATTATAAAACAGTTGTTTTATTTGTGTACCTTGTGAGTCATAATGGAACCGAATTTTGTACTTTTGTTTAATATTGCTATTAAGCTGTGTTTTATGTGTGTTTTAGGTGTGTCAGTTAAATCGATCAAACTTTACTGCACTTCACAGAAACTCAACACAGTGGCACAGAAACCCACCACCAACTAGTGTTTTGGAGGTGGCACTGCAGAGCTACACAGACACATTACTACACAGATACAAATGCTCACAACAGTGTAGGCCATTTGTGTAGGCTCTGTGTAGAGCCTACATTTATTTATAAACCATCCTTGGCGCACTACAACAGCTCACATGGTAAAGTACACACTGAACATTTCCACAGCACTAATTCTTTCAGTAAAACTAGAATTACTGCCTCACAGTTGTATGCCTCTGTGCACCAGTCAAGCTTCTCTTACAGTTTACATCCATGTCTGGACGCTTCACACACATCCTACCCCCTGACATCATAGAAGATCTATACAATCAGCACAGTTTCAAGGTGGACACCCAAGATTAGAGTCATCAGTTCAGTATCTGTCCAGATGTCTCCCCTTCTGTTCCTGTGATTTGACATTGAATAATGGCCAGAAAAGTGTTTTGAAGGTATCTACATAAAGGTGACATGACACTGTCATAACTATGACATGACACTGTCATCAACTTGTCATAAACATTATGTAAATGTCATAAACGTTTATGACTGCTATCATTAAGTGTCATTCGGCTTTTGTAATGACAAGTTGACAGTATTTGGGTTGTCTTGATTATGACAACTTGACATTAATTAAAGTGACATTACCAGAAGTTGTCTTTGTCATGGCAAGTTGACATTAAATTTGTTGGGGATGTCCTCATTATGTCAACTTGACATTAACCAGGATGACATTACCAGAAGATGTCTTTGTCATGACAAGTTGACATTCCAAAAAATGCACCTCTTTTTGTGTTTATGACAAGGTGACATAATGATTATTATAATTAGATGTCCAAGGTTACAGACCAATTCTCACACTCGGTCAGATAGATGTCTGGCAGGATACGACACAAAACTGTCATGACCAGTGTTCGGGGTAACACGTTACAAAGTAAATTAACAAAGTAATGTGTTACTGTAATCAGATTACATTTGTCTGTAACGCAGTAATGTAACGCATTACTGTTGATAACTTGCAGGATACAACACAAAACTGGCTGTCATGACCAGTGTTGGGGTAACACGTTACAAAGTAAAGTTACAAAGTAACATCTTACTGACCTCACTCACGTGACCTGACTGTGACTCTGGCGCGATAAATGGCAGAGCCACATGAGACTTCCTTTGAGAGGTGGAGATATGCACACTACTTCGAAATTTGTTGCACGAAAGGACGAGAATGTGACGGTAAAGTGTAAACTGTGCCCAGGCCATAAACAACTCTCAACTGCTGCAAACACGTCATCAAATCTCTCCAAGCACCTGCACAGGCAACATGCTAACATAAAGCTAGTAGCTAAAGACCTGTGGACCCTGAGTGACGCAGGAGATAAGCCAACACCAACCAAGCAGCCAAGGCTTGCAAAAGGTATCAACAAAAGCAGAGATAAATAGGCTTGTAGCAGCATACATCGTGGAGGAAATGTTGCCTGTTTCAACAGTGGAATCGCCATTTTTCCAAAACATACTGAGCAAAACACAGCTAACAAGGAGCAGATGGCCGCCATCAGACAGGAAAACTTTTGCAAGCTACCTGGATCAGTGTTATGTGAAGATGGAAACTGAGCTAAAGAAAACATTTGAGAGCTTAGAGTATGTGTCAACTTTGGCAGTCTCCTGCCAATACTGGAGATTTTGACGTCAAAGACACTGGCACTGCAAAACGATGAGCAGGATGTACGTATGCCACAGATCCCCACCTCCAGCAGTCATTGACTATTTGAAGTCGGGGTCAGAGATGGAGATTCAGAACTGTCTCCCCACAATAAAGACTATTTGTATGAAATTCAACACAGCAACACCCTCTAGTGCACCAGTGGAGAGGCTCTTTAGCCTGGGCAGTGTTGTGCTGACTCCGAGGAGGAACAGGTTGTCTGACAAACAATTTTAGAGACTCCTCCTCATGAGGTATAACCTTCTTTGGTAAGCATGTCCAGTAAGATGGAAAAATGTGCTGTAAAGCCCTAGTTTGGTGAGTGAGCTCAAGTGAGTTGAGTGTGTTTGGCCAGTTAAATGCACAGTTCAAATGACATTTTATATGCAATGTTGTTTTCCTTTGAAGTCTCATCATCATCTGATATGATGATGAAGGCCAGTATCTTATTTTATTTATTGATATTATTTTGAACATTCGCACAGTTGAAGCAGAGCCACGAGCAGATTCGCCAACGTCTGTGCATTTATCCCTCGCTACGCCTGCGCGAAGACATAGATCACCATGGTGATGCGTTGGTGGACTGTAAATATGGAGGCCAGGTTGGTTGAGCTGTGGCAACAGTATGAGTGCCTGTTCGATGTTTCTTCTTCCACCTACCACGACCGCTATCAACGCTGGCAGGAGATAGCCAATATTCTTCAGCTGCCTGGTAAGTTTTTTCTGCTCTCATTTTCAAGCAAGCGAAACAAACATACAAGCTAGTGCGCTAGACGAGGTACAACACACACACACACACACACACAGAGGGTGCACCCGGCTGTAGCTGGCTTATCTCCAACTCTTGTTGTAAAATGAACAAACCATACTGTCCACGTCTCTCAAGCCATCTGCGATTCCATATGCGCCGACACCACTTCTTTTTGGATGTTTCGGCATACAGTATAGCGCAAATCATCAAAGCAAACCGCTTGTCCTGCTTAGTTGACAACAACGGCACTTCCGGAACAAATCAGAGCTTTCAAATTTATCTTTATTGACAGCTGTCAACGGGCAGGAGAGTCAGCAGGGGCCGACGAGCCGTTTTCACCCGTACAGTGTGAGCTCTCTGATCGTGCTTGATGATCGGAACTGTTGGGAATAGAATGATTTTATGTGTTTTACTATAAGTTGTGTTTCACTATATAAGTTTTAGATGTGTGAACAATGAGAATACTGAGATGATTTCAGCTGATCTGAATGTGTTTGCTTTGCAGAAGTGGAGAAGTACAGGAGAGGAAGAGACATGAAGTCTGAGGAGCACATACCGCAATGCTTAGATAATTAGTTTCATATATGGTAAAAAGAATAGAAAGTGATGTACAGATAGCAAGATACAGCACGTATAGGGAGTTGTGTTGTGCTCTTGTCTTTCAAAACAGGAACCACGCCCCCACCGCCAGCGGGAAGGAGTCAGATTAACACGAGGCAGGGGCATGGTGTGGTGAAGGAGGAAGTGGAACTGCCAATGAGAAGAGGACAACACCTTGAGTGCACAATGACACTCTGTTACGCTCAAATATACTGGTCAGGGAAAAGACAGGAGGTCAGACTTCGTGAACTGACACACCTTTGTTGTTCGTCAGGGACGTGAAGTTGAGACCCAGAGCTCTGTAATTTTATTCCTTTACTGCTTAATAAACTACATTAACTGAGACCGAATATCTTCTCCTATTGCTTCATTAAAGAACACGCAGGACTGAGCTTACACATAGCACATTGGAGAGTAGGATGAGCCCCTAGTCCATCAGAACGTACAGTGTGAGCACATAAATTGTGAGCTTTGGCCGCACATCGCAGACGATTCACTCCATGGTGATCTATGTCTTCGCGCAGGCGCAGTGAGGGATAAATGCACAGACGTTGGCGAATCAGCTCGTGGCTCTGCTTCAACTGTGCGAATGTCTGTGCCGGCCGACCAAAATTTCTGACATGTCAGAAATTCATCCGACCGTCCGACCGTGGTTCTGGAACAGATGATTGCCCCCCCCCCCCCGTACGGCAAAAGACGCACGACGAAGCGGAAATCCGGCCTGAGCATCGGCAGGTCGTGCGTCTCAAAAATCGGGTCAAATACGGCCAAAAATCGTACAGTGTATGCTGGGCTTAATTGGCAATTAAGTTATGGTGCATCCCAGGTGATGTGATGGAGTAATCCAAAAGTAATGCCAGTAGTGTAACTAATTACTTTCAGCAGTGAGTAATTAAGTAAAGTAAGGCATCAATCTTAAAAAAAAAAGTTACTAGTAATCAGTGTTGGGGGTTGTTACTCAACTAGATATCTCATGATATCTTAATGACAAATCAAAATGATACCATTTTACCTGAGGTCAAATAATTTATTCATTACACTCATAATGGTGTCATGACAGCCAGTTTTGTGTCATATCCTGCCA